TATATATATATATATATATATACTAAAATAAATTCTATTTAATACATGTACTAATATTCCTACGTCACGGTTTTTCACTTATCGCGGGTCTTCACGGTACGGCTCCTCCGCGATAAACGAGGGACTACTGTAGTTATATTAGCCAGCTAATATTAGCAACTCTACATGTACTTTTTAATTCTTGCAGTGCAGTTTTAAGTAATGAACATTTAACGAAAGAGGTTTGGACAAGCACTCATTGGAGCTGGAGTCATTATGTATTCTGCACATAACTGAACGTTGTTAAACGGTACTTCTTCATTACAGTTATGTTCACAGAGTGTGCACTTTTGTGTTTCAAAAACATAATTGTGAATTTCTCTGTCACTAGAACTTTCAAAAAAACATTCCAGTAAAATGAATTTCAAAAGACAACCCACGTTAACATCCCACAAGTTCTTTTTCCAACCAAATCTAAAAACAAACTCGGAGCTTGACATGGGAACAGTTTCTCTCAGATGAACCTGAGTGAGCAGACGTTGAGCAGGTAAAGCAATAAATCATAAAACAAATGACTTCTAAAGTGTGTTTGAATAATTTAAACCATATTAGCAAACTGGTTACATTCTGCAGCTGGGGGAGGAACACACAATCTGCAGTTGAGTGTACAAGTAGAACGGGTCTTAGTGAAAAGTTTTGGTTCATTTTGTTTAGTTTATTTTTGCAATTGTCATTGTTTAATCATGGTTCAATGAGGCCAATAAAGAATCATTACAAAAAGAACTGACAACCTGTTTGTTTCTCTCTTAGCAAGTTTCCACAAAGACTGTTCTCATCAATCCCATCGAAACTTGTATTTTGGCTAATAAAGCATAAAAATGTTCAAGTGTGATGACTCTTTCTGGAAGGATGTGGACTGTGCTTTCATTGGGTCAAGTCAAGTCAGTTTATTTTTAAAGCCCATTTAAAAACAACAAGACGCAACCAAAGTGCTGAACAACAATAATAAAAAAAAAGATAAAGGCAGAGATAAAAACAACAAAACAAATTAATCTAAAAACATCAGAAGATACACATAACAATAAACCAAAATCAACTCGCCTTGGGTGAGAAGACGTTACGCTGAGATCAGATATGTTTTTTTAAAAATGACAGGAAGTGAAGAGGTCTATCTGACGCCAAAGTTCATGCTCATTAATCCAGGTATGAATCCAGCAATGTTCAGTCAGGTCATCTGGATGGTTTCTTTTGTTGCTGAGACGTTTCATCGAAAGGACTTCTTCAGTCTGAGAAGCCACCAAACCAAACTGAGCATGAAGATGCTGAGGATTAATGAGCATGAACTTTGGTGTTTTGAACCACTTTGCTATGGTCTACCTTAGAGGAGTTGACGGGGGAGAGGGCGGAACCTCTTATCACCAGCAAACTATTTTGTTTTTTTTCCACTCAGGGAGTGAACTGTTTGTGCGATTCTGTTTGGTTTGGTGGCTTCTCAGACTGAAGAAGTTCTTTGGATGAAGGACGAAACGTATCGGCAACAAAATAAACCACCCAGAAGAACTGATTGAACATTGCTGGAGATCTCTCTAATGTTGGAGAGTGTTCCAGAGTTTAGGAACCAGGACAGAAAAAGTCTGATCTCCTCTGAGCTTCATCCTAATTTTTGGGACAACCAAAAATCATGTGAGAGTAAAACAAGCTACTGATCTGTGTGAGTTAGTTTCCTGTAAAACTCAACACTGAGGCTTCCATCTCTTTCCATGTGGAATTCTCCGACTGTTCTTAATGACCAGGTGACCTGACTGAACACTGTTGGATGTTTACATGGATTATTGACCCTGAACTTTACTGTTTTTAATGTTTCACATGAAGGAGGTTTTCTGGTAAAAAGTAAAACACAACATGATGACGTATCTCACTGAAAACATTAGCGTTGCTGTACCTCTGTGGTCAATGCCCTGGTTTCTAATCCTGAGGCTGCAGGTTTAAAACCAGGGTTTGTCAGGAAGGTCATCTGCTATAAAGTCTTTTGTCCAAAGTTCATTCACGGTGGTGACCCAAGAAGAATAAAG